GGCTTTTTTTTTTTTTTTTTTTTTTTTTTTTTTTTTTTTTTTTTTTTTTTTTTTTTTTTTTTTTTTTTCCTAGCAGGAGGTTATTCCAGACCTACAGGTTTATTAATCTATGCAAAATCTAGCTGGTAACACAAGTACTAGACTGGAAGGATGACTGACATGATCCTACGTGGCAACTGTAAAGAATATGAACTTACTTCATGTTCACTTATTTCAGTGTCCCATGTTCTAACCAAATTGTTTTTCCAATACCCAAAAAAATAAAACTTGATATTTACAAATATAAAGCAATACATCAGAGTACTGCAAATGTTGTTTGGATTTTAATTCTGTTTATTTGTCAGTTCTCAAGGCCCTTAGGAAGAAAGGGATTCCTGTAATCACAGCACACTTATATACTAATGCTTTTGTATAAACATAAACACTGAATYACAAAGCTCTTTCTTCTAGTTCCCCAAACACAAATATCCAGAAACTTCAGTCAACCTATTTATTAGCTAGTACAGCTTTRATCATCTAACCATTATGGTTTTCTCAGCTCCCTCTACCTTTTTATARCTGAATGTAATAAAAAAAATCAAATAATCCATAAGAATGGCAACAATAAGTATTACATCTGTCTTATTTCTTCAATGCTTATGATTATTTTACCTATTTAGCAGAGCACTAATCTGATCAACTCTTATGAACTCTGAGTCTATTAAATGGTTTTACCTTAGCTTTTACTAAATGAAAGAAAAACAATCTGTCTAGCAGATCAATAAAGAAATTCTTATCGATTCCATCTTTTCAGACAAAAACTTAAACATTCATTATCTCACCCTCTTATGGGTGCCACTTAAATCATGATAACACTATTCCTCTTAAACTTTACAAATCTATCCCTATCCTGCTGCAGCTTTATTGTGTAAATAACAGTGGCTCAACACACTTTCCAGCAGAGATGTGAGTACTCTGGCTAAGAAACCTGGAATGTTCCAGCTACTTCAGGCTAATGATCTCTCAAATGCACACTAATATGTTTGATAGAAGTCTCTCAGCATGTGTGCACAGAATGCTTAACATAAGAATGGCACTGCTGTGGGCAGGGCAAATCGCTGACACCATTTCAGACTGAGTTAGATGCTGGAGGCACAAATTAAAACTGTAAGCTTTCATTTCAGTGGGCTTTGACAGATGGAAGACTGCATCAAATCTCTAATTGTTTAAACCATTAACTCATCTTTCCACCTGCATTATCTTTGGAAAGAGCTCAGCTGGAAGCCTGAAACAATTACTCACATATGGAATTCAGGAGTGTATATTATTCTAAAAAGAAAGTTGTCTTTTTGAAACAGTCTAACACTCTGCCTGTTTGGCTGCAGAATTTGTAAATTGCTTGTCTTTATTTTCACATTTTCTGCTCAGTTCTGAAAATTCAAAAAATAGCCTTTCAGCCTTCCCACAGAATCAATCAATCAAGGACCACTGCCTTGGCTACTGGGAACAAGGAAGTCGAATTGCAATTCAAAGTGCATTATGATGATCCCCATTTATCTCCAGTCCTTGTAAATGCCATGGCACATGCAGCACTAAATTATGCCTGCTGGTCTCTTGACTTTCAGTTGCCTACAAAAAGAAAACCTTGTGTACGGAGCTGTAAAAAAAAAAATAAATTATGTCTACTTCACAAACTCTCTTGAAATGCCTTTCCCAGTCATTTCATCCTCCTTGCCCCCCACCTTAGGGCAAAAATACATTTTTCACTAAGCCAGCATGAATGCAGGACCCTTTGCCATTTCATGTTACTCTCAGCAGCAATCGAGTCTCCTGTTGTTTTTCTAGGGGAGCACCTTTATGTGCTCAGCTCTTCCAAGTACTTGAGAATGGCCTTGGAAATGTGGAGCTCACCCTGTAAGAACAAACTGGRAAAATGGAGATGGAACAGCAAATGCTGTGCACTTACATACAGAAGCAAGAATTGCTGCTAATAAGACAGCAGAAGGCAACAGGATTTTAAGGACAAGAGCTTTGCAAATGGCAATAGGCAGGAGCCATTGAGGGCTTAGAAAGCAAAAGCAGCAAAGAAGAATACATTGGGACAAGAACACCATTAAGGAGCTGGCGCATCTGCCAYATACAGAGAAGCTCAGATCAGCCTGGAGAAAAGAAGGCTCAGAGGGATCTTTCCCATGTTTATAAATACCCATTGGGACACAATGAGGAAGAGGCAGCCAAGCTCTTCTCAATCATGCCTATGGACTTAACAAGAAGCCATGGACACAATTTCAAAAACAAGAAATACAGAAATTCTTACTGTGCCAGTAGTCAAACATTAAATGGGCTGCTCAGAGAAGTTGTGGTCTTTATGTGTGGAGATACTCAAAATCTAAGTGGATCTGTTTCTGGACAAGCTGCTGACCCTGCTTCAGTAGGAATGTTGTATCAGGAGATCTAAGAGGATTTTCCTTCCAACCTAAACAATTCACKGATTCTTTGGTAGATTTTTGAGAAACCAGTAGATGGGCATATACAGAATAGTGACACTAGTGGACAGAAAGAGGCAAAATAGCACATAAAAMTTTTCAGAGGATAAGTTAAGGTGTTCAGTAACTCTGCCTTCTCCATGTCCTCTGYTACCATAGTCTCCATTCCATTGATTCCAGAAGTGCCTTGGCCTTCCTTTCCTCATTTCTACTCTGACAACCTCCCTATATTCATTCCAAGYGSCCTGACCCTGCTTCCWTSTCCTGTGTATTTCCTGCTTACACTCGAGTCATGACAGAAGTTCTTTACCCATCCATCCAGGTCTCCTGCCCACTTTGCCCAATTTCTTGTTCATGGGATGAACCATTCCTGAGCCTAGCAGAAGTGATCCTTTTAAGATCAACCAGCTCTCCWGGACCCCTCTTCCCCACATGACCTGTTCCCATAGGATTTTTCCAAGAAGACCCCTAAAGAGRCTAAAGCTTGCTCTCCTGAAGTCCATGCTTACAATCTATCTTGCTGCCCCACTTCCTTTCAGACCAATACTGAATTCCACAATCCCACAATCACTGCAGCCAAAGCTGTCCCCAGCCCTTATACCTCCAACAAGGCCCTCCATATTAGTTATACAAAGATTGAGCATTCCTTCTGGAATCCTCCACTACCTGTCACATTCATATAAAATTCCTCCACCAAGGTGCTGAGAAGAAGTGAAAAGAATTTGCATTTTTAAAAGGTTAACTCAGTTCCCTGATCACTTTGAAAATTTTAGTTAGATAAAGCAATTGTTTAACTTCGCATTGCAAAACACAGAAAATCAAAGTCATTCCGAAAAGCGAACATTATGCTTATGTTCAGCTCTGCTAACAATTTGACCAAGTTTATATTTATTTGTTTTCTARATATGGCAAAGCTGTTTTCTTAAGGAAAATATATTACCTTCCTAAGAAAGAATGAAAACCATGACTGGAAAGCACATGTTAAGTAATTTAAAACTTACACTATCATTGTGCTTTGTACCACAATATAGTATCAATTTGTAGCATTCTTACATGGGTTTCAAGAGATTGATAAAATTTTAAGATAAAATTTGTAACAGCTTATACACACCTGATGTTGATTCCATAAACTTGGGAGTGACTGAGGGAGATATTCCTATAAACTCTGTTCTGCTTTAAAACCTGGACTACTTTTTTTGTATATTCCTTCTTTGTTGAGCAGRCAAACCATTAGAAAACCCTTCAGATTACTTACTTCATAACCAAATTAAACAAAAATTATATCAGGATCACTGTGGCACAAGGTGCTCGTGCTTTCCTGCAAAGGCAATTCAGTTATCATGAAATACATCCTTTGCATCTCTGTCTGGGGTTTTCAAGAAGAATTTTAAGAATGGTAAGATTTCACTGCAGGAATGAAATCTTTAGCAGTATGGCACAGCTAATAGGAAATGTTCCATTCTTTTTTTATACCGAGATGGTTATACCCTGGATTTTAATATTGATAAAAGCAAACAATTTTGTGTTATTTACCGCTATTTTATTTATTTCCATTCCAAATGGAACAGTCAAAAAATTGACCCATTTCCAATGCCATTTATGTCAACAGAAGCTAGATCAGTGAATCAGTCATCTCATTCTTTAAATGTACACAAGAAATCAGCATGTGCTAAAATCAAGGGTTAGCATCAGCATTTAACATAGACTGCATTATTAAAACAATACAGAGCAATTAGAACAATTAGATTTAATCCAAATTTCAGTACAACCTTCATGAATAAACAATAAATATTGAAGTCAAAAGGCCTAAATTATTGTAGAAATACATTTTCAGGATTTTTAGAGAAAAATACTAACTTGAGCATTTTCAGGCAAATTTCCAATGAATGCAACTCCCATGATGTTTATGAACAGTCAGCAACAAATGTGCAATTCCACTTGACCCACTAAAGCTCCCAAATCATTGCTGCTTCCATCCAGGCACCATAGAAAGACTTGCACTGGAGAATCAGTTGACAATTAGCTCACCCTTTAGGCTTTTGAGGTTAAAGTGCTAGAATGGGAAAGGGCATCAGTAGAGCCACCGGGATTTCTATTAAGAATATTTTAAAGAAATTCAAGTCCAAGATAAAAATTAAATACCCAAACTGAATGAAATGTTGCAAGTTAAAATACCCTGGTGCTGTTGGAAAAAGATTTTAAAGTTATTGACAGTTTTACTCTCTTCTGACCAAAAATACTAAAAAACCCACAAATGACACATGAGTTTTTAGCCAGTGTAAACTTTGTTGTAACAACAGAATTATGTTGGTTTAACTATGCTTGATATGTATCTTCAAACATGAMCCCTTGGTCCTGGAAGAGTAAACTGAAACTTGGTTTCAATCTTTGGTATTTTATTATAGGTTGTGGTTTCCAAATAAAACATAAACAGATGCTTCTGAAAAGAGGCTAAGAAGAAAAGCACTTAATCTACAGACAAGGGATTGAAAGMAGCTAGGTAACAGAAATGAGAGGGCAAAAAACAGGACTTACCTTTGAACACTGTTTATGATTCTGGCACCAAGCAAGTGACCCATTGTTCTGAAATACAAAGGAAATGTACATTAATATTAGTATTTCTTTTAGGTTAAACATGTTCACCCTAACATATTTAAATGGAACACACCATCCAGTTCTTCTTATTGAATGATGTTGTGTCACAACATAACTTTCAATCCTGACTYCTACTCCCTTGTGCAGAGTAGAAGGCTCACACAAGTGTAATGTGAACATAAAAAAGTTAGAAGAGCAAGCATCCAAGCAAATCTGATGGGAAACAGACCAAAGTCATCTTTTAGCCCATCTTTGTAAACACTTACTGTCTAGAATTGTTAAGCAGTAGACAAAAGGTAACACTTGCATTTAAGAAATTGATATAGATTAGCAGTGATTCATGAACAGAAAGTCCATTAGTTGCATTTCAATATCGTATACTTAAAATAAATTCTCAYGCAAAGATAGTGAACAACCTTGAAGGAAATGGAAAATTCAATTAAATGCAACATGAGTATCCCAAAAGTCACCYGTGCCAGTTTTATTTTATATTTTTGATAATAAAGTGCATTTCCCAGATTAGGAGAAACTATACCTCTTATTTATCCAACTGTAATGAAACAACCAATACTGTATAACATGCAAAACAATAATTTAAGGTAAAGGAAAGAAAACATGATAAAAACATGATAAGTATGAAACTGATGGAGGGACAAACAGCAACTTGCTGTTCKGGAGAAGTTTCTGAGGGGTCAATTTTGGAAACAGTATTTCCCRGCTAAAAACAAAAACAGCTCAGCTYAGAAAACAGAGGTGTAAGTTTGTGATGCTAAAAGATGAGATAAAATAATGATTTATTTTACGTATAGTGGAAAAACAAAATATCAGGAAGACCTTAACAAGAGAAATGGGGTACAAACTCTGCAACACATCCTCAGCTGATGTATTTAGGACCCCATATGCATGCATTTCTCCCATCATTTACAAGTCCATACTCTGGAAAAAGAATGGATGAAGACCCTGGTTAATTTATTGTTCTGAACTGGACTACAACTGTGAGTCTMTGAAGGAGTAAAAAGACATCCTTTCATAGGAATTAGGCAAGGTCTTCCCACAGAGAATGTGACTGCTGTATGCCCTCACTATTGGCCCAGATTACAGATCTGGAAATCAGTTTCCAAGGAGGAGGAATTTAGGTAGGCCAGAATGGAAAGCACTAATACAGCAGCACRATACCTTTTTCTGTCTCTTTTTTGTTTTGTTTATTTTATTTTTTTTTAATTGAAGAGTGATGCAAATAATGGAATAATAATATACATAAGTTGGTTTCATCTGGGATAGAGCTAATTTTCTTCACAGTAGCTACTATGGACTATGCTTTGGATTTGTGCTGGAAGCAGTGAGGATAACACAGAGGTGTTTTTGCTGCTGCTGAGCAGTGCTTACACAGCATCAAGGCCTTTCCTGCTCCTCACCCCACCCCACCAGTGAGAGGGCCAGGGATGCACAAGGAGTTTGGAGGGGACACAGCCAGGACAGCTGATCCCAAGATCCCAACTGACCAAAGGGATATTCCATACTGTACGGTATCATACTAAACATATAATGCTGAGGGGACAGGGGAAAGGGATGGACATTTGGAGTGATGGCATTTGTCTTCCCAAGTCACCACTGTGCATGATGAAGGGGGATGGCTGAACATCTGCCTCCCCAGGGGAAACAGTGAGATAATTTCTTGCTTTGCTTGTGTGCATGGCTTTTGTTTTACCTATTAAGCTGTCTTTATCTCAACCCATGAGGYTTTTCTACCTTTACTATTCTGATTCTCTCCCCCATCCCACCCACAGATCAACTGAGTGAACACRTGTCAAGCTGAGTTGCCAGCTGGCTCTTAACCACAACAATACATAACYTTTTATGTATAAAACTCACACAGATGAAGTAAAAATTATTCTGTCAGTTTACAATTCAGAAGGAGAAATAGACACATTACAATCATTGTAACTGAGACAAACACAACAGTTTCTCAAAACTGCAGCATTGTGTTCTGATCTCAAAAATGTTTACAAGCTTGAATACAGTGATTTGCTATCACAACTATGAAGTCTGTGCTTTGAAGCTGGATCTCTCTTTGTGAATGTTTAAAAAGATCATGTTTGTGYATGTCTTCACACAAGTGTGTAGTCACATGTTCACAAAAGCTTCCAAGATGTGGCCAGMAGGTCAAGGGAAGGGGCYATCCTACTTTAATCTGCTCTCACGAGCCACACATGGAGAGCTGCATGCAGTTCCAGCACCCTCAGAACAAGAAAGTCAAGGACCTGTTGGAGCAGGTCCAGAGGAGGAACAYAAAAATGATTTGARGACCAGAGCACTGCTCGGTAAAGGCTGAGACACTCRGGGTTGTTCAGACTGGAGAAAATAATGCTCCGGAGAGATCCTAGATTTCAATATATAAAGGGGGCTTACAAGAAAGACAGAGACACCAAGACCTGTAGTGACAGAACGAAGGGCAACAGTTTAAAACTGAGAGAAGGMAGATTTAGGTTTGATTTAGGGAAGAAGCTTGCTACAGTAAGACTGATGAGATACTGARASAGCTTGCCCAGAGAAGTGGTGGATGCCCCATCACTGAACTGTTTCAATGATCAACATGRTCTCATGAAAGATCCCAGGGCAGGGAGTTCTAGATGACCTTCAAAGATCCCTTCCAACTTCAGTCATTCTCTAAGTATGTGACTTCAATCATTTCCAGTCAGAAACAGAGAACTGTTTATTCACAGGACAACTCTTATTCTGAAAATCAAAAAAATTTATATATGTGGGTTTTTTTCATACGAGCTGTAATGCTAGAAAGTTCTACTTCTGTATTACCAAAGAAGCTCTGGGGATGATAGACATATCCACTCCTTTTCGTTCCTTTCCACTTATTTGCAATTATTTAGGATCATTTTTTTAAAAATCAGTTCATACAATTTAATTCCAATATTTTACAAAACATTTCTCTTCTATCAGATTACAATGAAATCATATTATTTTATAATACCATTCTGATCTGTCATTACTTTAAAATTTAACTAAAACTGAGATTTGCTAGCATAAGATTAGCTAACTAAGAGCACCATGTCAGGTCCAACCCCTTTGAAAAGACAGATATAAATAAAAGAAATAAAACTTTAGAGCAACTGTAAATAACATAAGCTAGTGGGAATTCTTTACTATTACTCTCAATGCTATATGAAGATTTATTATTTCCATTTACAAATCTAGCCAGCAGCAATGTTAAAACAATATTTTATGTGCTACTTTCAATTTATCCTCCTTTCTTCTTCRTATAAAATGTGACAGAAGTAGCTGATTGCAATAACAGATTAGTAGCAGCTCACCACTTTGTTTGCTGCTACTTTCCACTGAACTAGAAAAAGCACCTCTGCTTTTAAATTTTATCTGTTACTTGAGACAATAAAGCCATAAATGCCCAGATGTGTGGCCCCCTTACCTGATAATTCCAATGTCTACAACTGTTTTCATTTCTCTACTGAAAGCTACTAACACTTGAGTTAAAAAGGAAGTCCATCAAAATGTAAAATTATTGYTTAGCAACTTCAACCTCATACAAACTAACATGATGTGAATGATCTTTCATTGTACTAGGAAAAGCAAATTTTACGGGCTTCTTTTGAACAGCAAGGTATCWGATGAAGCACAAGGTTAAATGAAGGCTCTTCTCCACTCTAAATCCTAACACATGGTTAACCACAAGCACCCAGCTGGGACTGTTGCTCATGCCGGCATACCTGGCTGAAACAATAATCTCAAACTATCAAAAATCTGTGTTTTATCTGTTGCATTTCACATGCTCCCACATTCCACTCTCGGTTCCCTCACGTCTGCTTTTCKTCAAACCCAATCCTGACACGGGTTAGGCCAGTGAGTTTTGACTTTGTCTTTATGGGTGGCTCTAATCTGCAGCACAGAAAACGCCTCAAAAGGAGTTGAACACCGCTGTTCCTGCCCCTCTACAAGCTTTGCACAGCGTATCTTCAGGGCAGCCTTGAAGAATCTTAATCTGCAGAGTGAAGAGAGCAAACTGCACTCAAGAGGACAAACTCCAAGTATCCCATCTTCCCAGACCTGGCACATTTTATAAAAGATAGGTAGAGGAGACTAAAGCAATTTCCAGCAGCATATACAAGATAGATCAGAGGAACCCAGGTCACCACCTGAGCCCCACACACTTTCAMTCCACCAAGAAGGAAACTTCAGACTTTCAAAGACCACGGTTGTTTGACATGTATAAGGATAAGTTCTTACAAATTCAAAAAAAAACCTAGAACAAAATAATAGATAAACATTACAAGACTTATCACTAATTTTTTTTTTAAGAAAATATATGACACAAGTATTTTCAATGACACTGTTAAATTAACATATCCAATTAGATTTCCTAGGCCTCATTTCAGCAAATATATGTGCACAATTGCTTTCCTCTGCTAAACCGCAAATGTCCTTGGTCCTAAACAGTTAAGCCAAACATCTGTGTTCCGTGCCTTGAAAAATGAAACGCTGTGCAGCATCTCCTGTACGGAAAAAATAGATCTAGAGAAGCAAGAAAAATCAATCTTCTATCCACAGTTGGTCCTATGGGGGAAAAAGCTAATAACATTGACAAGCAAGTATGAACTGGTCTTTAATTGGAGTAATGGCAAAAAAAYGCAGTATAAAATTACTTAATTTGCATCTCTGTCCATAATTATGTTAAGARATACAACCCTTCTTTTGAAATGCCAGAGATGAGCTATGAAAATTAACTAGTCACTTAATCTGCTATSACAGTAGCTGTATATTTATTATAAGTTTTGGAAGTCTCTTCTTCCGTGCCCAATATTCAATCCACATTTGTGTGAAACCAGTGTCTCTCTCAGAAGTGGCCTCCCCTGACGACCTCACCATTTCTTTCAAAATGACAAAAAAAGCATAAAAATAAACCTTTCAAATAACAGTACCCACTGAAGTAAAGCAGAACATTTGAGTAGACAAATCAATGA